GGCCGCCCGGCTCGCTAGGTTCCGTCCGCCTCGCGCTGTCAGGGAAGGGGCCGGCCCCGCGCGCCGGGAGGGAGCTTTTAAAGCGACACACACGCCTCCCGGCGCCCAGCGGCGAGCGCGCTAGCCGGGGGGTCTGGCGGCTCGGGTGGCGCGCAAGGGTCCTACGCTGGCCGGGCCGAGGCACTGTAGTCTCGCCGACTCCAGCCGAGATCCGGGCATGCCGGGGAGCGGGCTAGGGACTTAGTTCCTTTCCACCTTTTCAGACACCCCCGGGCCCCTTCCCCCACTGCGGCGCATCCCAGTTTTCCCCTTTGACTAAATTTCTAGCTTCCAGACCACCCCCCCACCCCCCTTTCCCCCGGTCACGTCTCGAGCGGCCCCAGGCTTTCCCTTAAATAAGATTAACTCAGAAGGGAGTATAGTAACCTTTACTGTATGCCAAACTCTGGACTGGGAGATGTTGGTGGTTGGAAGCACCGCAGATGCTCAGAGGTATGCGTTAGACAGATCATTTTGTGGTTATTCATTCATTTACTCAACATTTATTCTGCGCCTTCTGTGGACCAGACCCCAAGCTAGATTTTGGGGTCACGGGAAGGTAAAGCGGCATTTCGGGGAAGCTCACATCTCCTGGGGGGAGGGGATCCGCCTGAGTAAACTGTGAAGGGGGAGGGAGGGCTGGGGGTGTTAAATACAGGTAGAAGGCAAGTTCCAGAAGCAACGACAGGGGACCTGGGTGAGAAGTAACCTCAGGCCAGAAGCTAAGGGACTTTTCCTGGTAGGCAAGCCTTGATCTGAAGCTCAAAGGAGAAGTGGGAGTTATTCAGGTGACTGTCAGTTTGGGGGAGGTGGGATGAGCGTTTCAGGCAGGGAGGGGGTGAGAACAGAGGCTCAGAAGCCGAGGGGGAGTTTGAGCCAACAGATCTTTTTGAGACACCTTTTTGACGGCTCTGAAAAGTGGCTTAGGGGAAGACCAGATCCCGGTGAGATGCAGAGGCTGCAGTTAGGGACTCAGATTTTATGCCGAACACTGGACAGTGAGGGTGTATGGAAGAACCTGGTTGGCCTGTTAGGTAGCCTTGTCAGGAGAACTCTCTGGCAGCATTGTGCCAAGTGAATCTGAGCACTTTGCCCCAGGGAGACCAGTAAGAAGCTGTCAACAGAATCTAGCCGAGAGAGGGGGAGCCTGGGTAGCTGCAGGGGCGATCCTCTTTCTCCTCTATTGGACTTTGAGAGGTTAAGGGAGTCCAGGTTGCCTGTGGCTTATGCCTTGGGGGAGAGGGTAGATGGCTGTGTCACCAGTTGAGTAAGAGAAGGGAGGGGAGGAATAGATCTGAAGTGAAAATCAGGAGTCCAATTTTTTTTTTAGACCAGAGGAGCTCTCTAGAAGTCAGTTAGGTTTTTAGACCTGTGCTTGGACTTGAGGCTTTTTTTTTTTTTTTTAATCATCATTAGCGAGGCATGAGGTAAACCAGGAGGACTGTGTAGACCAGTCACAAAAGCAGAAACTCCAGTCCAGGCTGGAACCTTGGAAAAGAGCCACTGAGTGAGATGGAGCAGAGGTGAGGGAGGTGGAAGAACCAGGAAAGTAAAGAGTGTGCCAGGCCCAAGAGGAAGCAAGTGTTCAATAGCATCAAGACTGTAGAGAAGGAATAGAAAGTGTCCACTGGCCTTGGTACTTTGGAGGCCATTGGCAATGTGGCAGGGCCAGTGTTTTGGGAGGAAGGGGAAGGAAGCTGGCAAGAGCCAAACTGTTGGGCATTAAGGACAGAGTGTTTGGTGGAGATTTGGAGTTGGTGAGTTTAGGTGACATTGTCAAAAGTTCAGGTAACGGGGTAGTAGAGATTTGAGCCAGAGGCAGAAGCAGGGTTAAGGGAGATAGGGCCAGATACTGATTTGAGACCACCCCAGGGGGTTCTTGAATTCCAGAGCCAGCAATAATGTTGTGTGTACTTATGATTTCACTTTTTCTTCAAATTCTCTCCCCATCTATGCTCACAGGGGTCTTGTGGAGATACTGGATCCTCAAGAGGGTAGGAATAGAGTCACCTGGGCTGGGGTGATAGAGGTGGGGAGGAGTGTTCCCCTGGGGAGGTGGATCCAGAGTGCCCACCTATCGCATTTTTAGAAAAATTGAGGTAAAAAATACAGAACATGATGTTCACCATCTTAGTCACGTTTAGGTATGCATTTTAGTGGCATTAAGTGCACTTACAGTGTTGTGCAACAATCACCACCATCCATCTCTAGAATTCTTTCCATCTTGCAAAACTGAATTTCTCTACCCATTAAGCAATAACTCCCTCCGTCACCCCTCCTGTCCCCAGTCCCTGGCAACCGCCATTCTATTTTCTGTCTCTGTGAATGTGACTACTCTAAGTATCTCATAAAAGTGGATCATACAGTCCCACCAATCACTTTCATGGAAACTGTGATGGTAAGGAATAGCCAGGATAAAAAATGGGATGATTCCAAGAAAATAAAATGAGCTTCTGTTCTCAGGTTTATGGAATCATCTCCCCACATCCAAGATAGGGGGGATGTATTTGAACTGGGAGTGTTAGGAGACAATGAGCTCAGTTTGAGAGGATGCTTAATACCTAGTTGATCCTGAGTCTCATTAATAGAAATGCAGTGCTTAGAAAAAGGGAGGTACAAGTCTTCTGTTGTCAGTGTACTGAACTGTGTCAAGCACCCCAATTTACTGGGCATATCTGTAGGAGGGCAGATGGAAGAGGGGTGGAGACTGGTGTATACATCCCATGGAGAATGGATGGATTGGTCAGGGTTAAGTAAAGACTAGTGAGAAGGGATCTGTAAATCTCCAGAGGCAAGAAAGATTAGGTTCAGGGGTGTGCGCTCCAGCTCCCCTTCCTTGGTATTTGGAGACTGACCCATCGTCTCTACTCAACATCACTGGCCACCTGCCCAGATAACATTCTTCAGGTCTCTGCTTACATTCACCCCTCCACCCACCTCTAGACAGTCTTCCCTTCCCCTTCAGGCAACGGAAATACTCCCTTGGCCCTTAATCAAATGTTTCCCAGGATGTTCATTTAATAGGTAGTTGTATGACCTTGGGCAAGTCACTTAACCTCTCTGAGCAGGGATAAGAAGCCCATAAGCTTTTTATTTTTCCCTGTATTGGCTGTCCTGTCAAAGGTTTATTTTCTGCTGCCTCTTGGACTTAGAAAAAGAGGGATGATAATAGTACCTACTTCCAGGGTCACTGTGAACATGAAATACACTCATGCACAGGGAAGGACTTGTCCCAATGCATGGCACCTGCTAGGTGCTTCATAGCTGGCAGCTGCTGTTAGTTTTTATTGGCAGCTTCCTGTCCATTACCCTTATTTCCTGTGAGCCTGTGCACTCCTTGGGGCCGTGTTGGTATTGTGTCTGTCTCCATCTCTCACACAGGCCAATGCAGTGGGCTTTGACAGCTAGCAACTTTTCCTCTTTAGCCTGCTTTCCATCATCCCATTTCTGGAATCCCCTTTCTTTGTGAGATTCCCCTCTGTCATAACAGACTCCTCCCACCCATCCCTACTTAACTGCCAGCAAATGGGCACGTGATCCAGACTGTACCAATAATAGAACTCAGTCCTCTAGTAACAATGATTGGTCCAGGGGATGGGCACACTCCTCAAGTAGGCCCAATCAGACACTTTCCCTGGGATAGGTTTCTGGATGCTGGGGAGAGAGTAGCTTCTTCCTCCTGGGGTACCAGGCTGGGTATTATGGACCTGAGGCTGGGGACGGGCATCTTTCGCGGTCACAGATGGAGAGGAAGTTAGAAAGTGTGCTGGCATCACTGAGTCCCAATGTCTGCTCTCATGGCCTTATTCCTGCTGTCCTGCTTTCAGTCTTGGGACCTGCAACATCATTCTATCCATCTATAAGAGCCAGTAAATTCATGTTTCTAATCTCAAAAAACAAATAAAAACCTGGCAAATATACCCAGGGGACAGATGATGGACTACATGATGACGTTCTTAGATGGGGTAGCATGTCCCAAAGTCCTGAAGCCAGAGAGGGCTGGCCAGGAAGGTGAGGGGAAGTATTTGGGGTAATATTGCATTAGGCAGACTTGGAGTTGGGTTCCTGCTATGCCATTCACCAGCTGTGTGATCCTGGAAAGTTACATGCCCTCTCTGAATTCAAGTCTCCTTATCTGCGAAATAGGCAAAATAATAGTGAATTCATAGGGTTGCCTTGGGAATGGAATGAGATAAGGAACAAGAAGCACCAAGCAGAGTACCTAAGAGGTAGCAGAGGAAGCGGGAGCTAGAAAAATGGCAACTGTGTTTATTAGCCTGCAGTCTATTGCGGCTGACTGCACAGGACTGAGATTGGCATGCTGGTCAGGAGGAAACAAAGATTCAATCTACAAGCTGAGTTCTCAGAAGGAGTGGGTCCTGGCATCAGGAAGGCAGAGTCAGGGCCAGAGTGAATGTGTTCAGACTTCAGAGATGGCAGAGACAAGAGAGAAGCTGGTTAACACTTAGCTGCTGGGGTTGGAAAGATCTGACTCATATGCCAGCTTTTCTAGTCACCACGTGACTCACTAAATCTTCCCAGGTCTCTATTTCCTCTGTAGATACCTTTCTGATTATTGTTTTGAGGACTAAATGCAAGTCCATGAAACATTCTCAGCATAGGACTTAGTAGATATG